CTAAGTCGCGTAAATCACATGTGATTCGATTGTTTCTATTCTCTTGTTTGATTATTGTTCTTGTATGATGTAACATCTCAGACTAACCGTACCAAAATATTATCTGCTTTATTAACACAGTTTTAAAACGCGTCTAGTAGAAGAGGTATTCAGTTTCTTATAAGGAAACCTTAGTTTCCCTCCCCAACCGATATATGATCTTACAATCCACCTCCTTGGGAGCTCAGCGTCCTCGCTGGCACACCAATCCGTTTCTCGGCTGTGATACCAATTGAAACGGTCCAAAACTCAGACAAGAACTACAATAGCGAAAAGTTCATTAGCAAACTCAAATTTGGTCTAAACCAATACACAATGCGGAAGGGAAAAAAAAATTCTCGTAGTTATAGCAGAACCACTAAGAGAACTTATTACAAGTAGTTAAAAGTCTAAAATTATCGAAGTAAAACAAGGTTCTGGATGCCATAATCCTCTATCAAATCAGATTATATCTTACCCTTGTCTTCTCCTACTGATGAGTGCCTTGAAAAGCACTTAGAATTTGAAAGACATGGCTTAGACCTAGGTTTCTAGTAAGTAATTCTTGATTCAAGGCATTTAAAAACAAATGATAATAGGTTAATCCAAATTCACATACAAAATCAATTAAATGCGATACCGCATTCCCTATGGGTAACTAGCCACGGTAATCGCATCAATTGCATACCACTTGAGTATTCATCCCATCGAGATCGCAATCAAGATCAACAATGACACCACGTAAAACGAATTAATTCACAGGTCCCCTATTCATCCTCATGGGGACTATTATAGTCACATACACATCACTCCTACAGTATAAGTTAGCCATCTCATATAACCACACTAGGTGTGTGGACAAAACGAACACTAGATGTTACATTTGAACCTCAACATATATATACATATATACATACATATATATAAGGGTTGGTTCCGGTGAGAATGAGAGCTATAGTGAGAAGGGTAAGAAAGGATCTCCACCTTTAGATCAATCCTAATTGAAGAGTTCCACTAAATCAACACTAATGAGAAGCACCGGATCCCTTCTAAAACGTAATTCATGAGTTGGTTTAAGACTAAATTGATTATAAGGGTGAAAATATTTTCTTTACGCTTCTCACCTTAACTCTTACTACCACACGATCATTCGTGTGTGTGTGTGTGTGTGTATATATATATATATAGAGAGAGAGAGAGAGAGAGAGAGAAAGAAAGAGAGAGAGAGAGAGAGAGAGAGAGAGAGAGTACGTGTGAAAGATTTGCTAGCAAAGCAAGAGATTACACTTTGTCTCCCATCTGCCAATATACGATGATTAAGACACATATAACTACAATTAAAAGAACAAGACGAAGAACCTGAGATGTTGCTCATTACTAAAATAATCAATAATGCATGCATACCTAATTAAAAACAAGCAAATAATTGTTAATTAATTACTTATTATATAAAATATATCAATAATCATTTAAATTTTGCATAAAAAAATATAATAAAGTAATTATTGCTGATAATATAAAAATAAAAATAAAATAATTAAAGAAGGATTAGTTATAATTAATTAAGTTAGCTTTAGCATTAAGACCTTGTCATGTTCTTGTTTGCATTTTCATATGTGTCTTCAAGCAAGTAGTAGGTAGATATATGCTTAAGACAAGAATTGTGAATGAAAAAATTGTCAAATTTGGTTCATGAGATTTCTATATATACATATAGTATTACATCTTCATAAACTAAAGTTATGATCAATAACGATTTCCGTAATCAGATTCAGTAATTGTTTTCGTTTTACGGTTTAAAGACGCACGATAAGAAAGTTTAATATGGAAATGATGTTAAGTCCATCTATTAGTTAAGAACGGGAATGGAACTCTACGAGATTGAATCTTCCGTTAGAGAATACCTAGGGACGCGAGACAACTCTCTCTAAGGAACTCGATAAAATAGAATCATAACTTCGAGAGAAGGGGTTTTACGTTTTCATATATCTCACCACTCTTTTTTAATTTGCGCTCTATATATATCTCTAGATTTATCCATTATTCACTACAACAAAATCGGGTTTATAGGACATTCCCAATTTCTAAGTGTCATAATAGACCTCTTTATAAGACTTAGTTTATAGGACCAAAAAAATAAAGTGTTCTATCTAAAGGCGTTGTAATAAGTTTATATGAYGTTTTTTGACGTCGTAATAAAATTTTTAGGACACTTTTAATATAAAACGTCTCATTAGCAACTTTATAAAACACTATTTGAAAAACTGTCATATAAAAACAAATGACCTATAAAAAATTGAGTTCATCCGTCACTGAAAGATTCTCTCGCTAATCTGTCGCTAGAAGATTCATTCGTTTTTCCGTCGCTGATAGCTTTACCTATGAGCCTTTGACCGACGGACAATCAACGAGAGATCAGCGAGGGAATGCCTCTTTAGCGATGGATCAGCGAGGGAATGCCCCTTTAGCGATGGATCAGCGACGAAATTTTTCCTCGCTGATACTCTTCATTTTTGTAGTGATGTCTACATGTTCTAATAGAATTCTTTATATATAGAGCATTAAGTTTATAAAACCAAACTATAAAAAGGTGTTATTTAAAAGCGTTACAATAAGTTTATATGACGCTTTTAGGTATTTTATATAACAACTTTTTATGACGTTTTATATTAAATAAAATGTCAGATTTGCTATTTTTATAGGATCATTTCTGAGAAGTGTCCTTGTAAGCCCATCTTTTTATAAAACACTTGTGTTTACATGACATTTTTTCGAATAATGTTGTATAAAATAGCTAATAAAACACTTTATTATATAAAAACGTCTCATAAACCTATTGTAACATTTTTATATATAACGTTTTTTGGTTTGATCCTATAAAGTATTTTATTAAGACACTTAGACATTATAAGCGTCTTATAAAAACCAATTTTGTTATAGTGTCGTAAACAATAACGATGTCCGTGGATTTGGAAATTATTTGATAAATCTCGAGAAATTGAGTAATTATTAAGAAAAAGATAGAACAAGATTTGAAAGAAGTTAACAAGTAGAAGGCAATATAATTTCCATATTAAATATTCTTATTATATGCATGTTCTTAGAAGAAAAAAACTAAACAATAATGCATTGATATTCATGGCCCGTTTACCTAACTGTTTATCCGATAAGCGTTTATCAATATGAGTTAACACTATAATTTATTTTGATCAGCAAGATTTTAATGCATCAAAACATATCAAATGCAACAAATTTACTGAGTAAGCGTTCACCTGGGTAAGAATCGTCATCCTCACTTACCGAGTAAGACCCTCGATCATTCTCATCGCTCTTACCCGGTAAGATTCTTGGCCCTTCTCATGTTCATCTGATAAGGAAATTTATCCGGTAAGCACTTACCAAATAAGTGTTTAATAAACGGTCCAAATCACTTATAATAATTAAGTACCACCAAACCCTAATTCAATTATGGTTTAAACTTCGAATGAATTTGATTCAGCTAATTTGATCAGCGATTCATGTCGCATCATCAAATGATACAAGTCTTGAATAAGAATCTACAACGCACTAGAACGTCTTTGTTGACGATTCTTTACTCCGACAGCATCTAGGATTTCTCGAACAATGTGATATCCGATGGTCAAAGAAAACCAACTCGGTTGAATACATGTTCAAATTTGATATAAAAAAATATTTCGCTTAGATATGATCAACGTTTTCTTCGGTAGTTTGGAGAAATAGAAAACTGTATTTTTTACGGACTTCAGTTTAATTAATTAAAAACGTTTTCTTTGATTTGGGTTTTAATTTAAATTGAGAAACTCATTGAAATAAACCGAATGGAGATCAATAGTCATGAACCGAGAGATATAATGGTCAAATAACGAGCTTTATACATTAAATTATTTATCAAAACGGTTCATATTGATTTTAAAACATGTTCGTTAACTTATTATATATTAAATTAAATTTAGTTTATTACGTTGGAACCGGGGGCAAAGCCACTAAGATAAACAACGTCGTCTATACACTTATTAAAAAAAGACAATCTTTGAAGCATACGTTGATCATTGTTGATGACCAACAAAAAATCGAGACAACGATAATGCAAAGGTACACGACATATTCTCTTTTTGGCATTATTTCCATGTCGGGTGTGAATTATTCTCGGATAAATATAATCAAAACTAACAAAAAGTTAAACTCAAAATTAATACGCAAATCAAATATATATATATATAGGATTAGGTTTACGTGAGACCAAAGGTTTTTCGTGAGACCCGTAAGACCAATTTATGTTCATTGATCAACTTTATAAGCTAATGATTTGTGGTCTAAAGTTGCACGGTGGCAATTTTGTGATTATTGAGAAGTCTTGTGGCGTTTATGAATGTTCAGATTGTCAGATTGTAGATCTAAGTCAAGGGTTGAGAATTGGTCTTACGGGTCTCACGAAAAACCATTGGTCTCACATGATCTCAAGTCTCTCTCTGTCTCTCTTTCTCACTCTCTCTCTCTCTCTCTCTCTATATATATATATATATATGTATATATATATAGAGAGAGAGAGAGAGAAGGAGGGTTGAGTTCCGGTTAGAAGGGAAATTATGGTGAGAAGGGTAAGAACTGATCCTCACTCTTGGATCAATCCTAATTGAAGATCAACACTAATTAGATTTACCAGATCAATTACATTCTAAAGTGTAATTTATGGATGGGTATAAGATTAAAATTGATCAAGGGTGGAGACTCTTCTTACACTTCTCACTTTAATATTTTTTTCCTCACATGATCCTTTGTCTATATATATACACACGTAAAACATATGTTATTTTTATATTTATACGAAGCAGTGAGATATAAAATTTTATCGTATACAAAAAATAAATAAAAAAACTAGTATAGATATATAGAGAGATACACAATTATACACAATTTTCATTAAAAAAATATTAGACATTTTAAAATAATTAATGATATAAAAAAAAACAATAATTATCAAATTGTGATAATTAAAGTTGACAAGATCTTGACTTCGATTCTCTAAATTGCCGAATCATACAACTAAATTGGTTCTAAAACCTTTTTTTTAACCTATGGATGTTCGGATCATCTTACAGATATTTTCACCGATTATTGCAGTCATGAAGATAACAGTAAGGAAAATTTGCACTAGCAGTGTTGACGAGATGTCTGAATTACCAAAAATATCAGCCTTGCGGTGTCGCTAAATCCCCGAGCATGTTGCAACGTACAGTCGAATGTATCGTGTCACGAGTGATCGTGCATATCGTGCTAGGTGATAAATTTACCAAAGAATTGAACATGGTTCATCTGGTTCGAGCCGAAAGCTAGTAACGGCTTCAGCCATCGGCTGCCACGATGAAGGGTAATAGTGGAAATCGTCTCTCGTCCAATTCGTGTTATCGAGCAAAAGATCTGGCAAGTGAAAGAATGTGTCATCCTCTTCTGTAGATGGGGATGCCATTGATGATTCTTGAGTATTGTTATCTGATGATGATAAAGTGTTCGATGAATTAGAGTCGGAAAGCGTTTCTTGGCTCGGTGGTCGGTCTCCATCTCCGCCACATGAGGCGGCAGCCTTGGCGGCGGCTTCTTGGATGTCTTTGGGTGATGTGGTGGCTGGTTGCGGTAGTAAATGGACCAATTCGGGGAAATTGAGGTGAGCCGAACGGCCTTTTATGGCTATTGCCGCCACATCGTGGGCTCGAGCCGCCATCTCGGCCGTTGAGAATGTCCCAAGCCATATCCTTGATTTCTTCCTCGGCTCACGGATTTCTGAAACCCATTTCCCCCAACTCCTCATCCGTACACCTCGGTACGTAGGGTAATGTCCTCCACCACCGTCACTGCCGTCACCACCAACGCGGTTTTCATGACGCTTCTTTTGCTCATTGCCATTGTTATCTTGTTGAGATCTCTTTGAGCGTTTTGAATGGGTGGTGGCGGCGGAGATGACGGTGGAGGAAGATGATAAGATATCGAGTTGAGCTGCATTTTTCATGGTGGGTGTACGACAGTTGCAGGTGGCAGCTGGTAGAAATGGTGAAGGGGGGGTGGATTAAAGGAAGATGAAGGTAAAGAGAAAGGGTGGGTTTATATATATTTGATTCTTGCATAAAATGATGATATATATATATTGGTTTAAATAAAGAAAAGAGAAAAGCCAAAAAGGAAAGGTATATTATGGGACCCTACACAGAAGGGTGGAAAGGCTTACATATATGGCATCTTATTCTTTTCATCATGGAATCATGGTAAGTTTTGGATATATATATATATATATATATATATATATATATATAGGGGTCTATTTAAGGGAGAACTGAGTTGTTTGTGGTAACTATGAAAACCAATATTAACCACAAATCAATAGATAAATTAGGAATTTTATAAATTTGGTAATTTTAAATTAAAATCTTAATACAAATATATTTTTAGTATTTTAAAACTCTCCTCTCTCCTCTCTTCTCTCTCCGGCCACCATTCTCCGGCCTCCGGCTACCGTCCTCCAGTGATACCGTTATGATACCACTGTGATACCTAAAAATATTGACTCTGTTAAACAAAAGATACATTGTGATACCTAAAAATATTGACTCTGTTAAACAAAAGATACATTGTGATACCTAATCATATATAAGATGCATAGTGATACCACTGTGTTACATCTT